CACTGGAGCCGATGTCTCTGTAAGTCCAGCAAGTGTATTCCGCCTGTTACATGTGCAGGCCCTGTGACCCAGTCGTCGTACCCTGATGTCTGCTAACTCAAGCATCCTCGACGTAGCTGGCGTGTTTGACGCAATGGTAACACATGCGGGCAAGTCGTCTCGACAAGAGATTTTCGTTGCCAACAACCTCAAGCAGGCCCTCCTAGGACGCCCTGCAATAGTCGTCTTGGACCTCCTGGACGTCAAGGCTGACATCTCTGAAGTATCGAGCGGTATTCGCGACACCGCGACAGCACGAGCTGCATACCCCGATTTGTTTAAACCTCTCGGCAGGTTCACTGGAGAGCCTCACTGCATTCGCCTCGAAGAAGGCGCCAAACCATTTGCTCTGTCCTGCCCGCGGGACAATGTGGCAATACCGCTAATGCCGATTGTTAAAGCGGAGCTTGAGAAGATGGAAAAGCAAGGCGTCATCGTCCCTGTCGACGAACCAACTGATTGGTGTGCTGGCCTTGTTGTTGTCGCCAAACCTGGAGGGGAGGCCAGTCCGTCTGTGCGTTGACTATACACGTCTCAACCAACACGTTCGTCGTGAGCAGTTCGTCTTGCCGGCGGTAGACCACACGCTGGGTCAGTTGGGCGGTGCCAAGTATTTCACAAAGCTTGACACCAACACTGGGTTTTACCAAATGCCCTTGGCCAAGGAATCCCAGAAGTTGACCACGTTTATCACCCCGTTTGGGCGTTTCATGTTCACGCGTCTACCATTCGGTATTTGTTCGGCTCCCGAACATTTTCAGAAACGAATGGCTCGGATATTGAACGGTGTGGTTGGTACCGCATGTCAGATGGACGACGCTCTAGTGTTCGGTAGCACTGAAGAGGAACATGATAACCGGCTGCACCAGGTGCTACAACGGCACAGCGACAACGGCATCACACTCAACCCGGACAAGTGTCTCTTCAAAGTCACTTCTGCCAAGTTCTTGGGTCATATCATCGACCAAGACGGCATCCACTCTGATCCCCAGAAGGTGCAGGGCATTCAAGACTTCACGTCATGCCAGGATGTCTCGGTTGTGAGAAGCTTTCTCGGCCTCGTCAACCAGCTTGGCAAGTTCTCTCCCTCACTCGCTTCCGTCTTACAGCCGATCCGCGACCTTCTCAAGAAAGGCAATGCTTGGTCCTGGGGACCCCCTCAGCAATCGGCATTTGAAGAGATCAAGGCTCTTCTGTAGTGTACGCCTGTTCTTGCTCTCTACTCTCCCGAGTACCCAACTATTGTCTCTGCAGACGCCTCGAGCTATGGTCTCGGTGCCGTTATCCAGCAGCAACAGCCGTCCGGCGATTGGAAACCCGTATCGTTCCAGTCTCGTGCGCTACTGCCGGCAGAGCATCGCTATGCTCAAATAGAAAAGGAAGCTCTTGGCCTCACCTGGGCTTGCAACCGATTCTCTGATTACCTCATCGGTAAGAGATTCACGCTGGAAACAGATCACAAGCCTCTGGTGCCCCTGTTCAGCACCAGTGCTCTCGACTCTATCTCTCCACGTGTACTTCGGTTCCGGCTCAACCTAATGCGATTTGATTTCGACATCGTACACATCCCTGGCAAAGATCTAATCGTTGCTGATGCCTTATCTAGGTCACCTGCGTCGCGTCCTCTACCCGCTGATGACGTCCGCCTCCTCGACGACGCAGAAGCTTTTCTCGACAGTGTGGTTTCTCATCTCCCTGCGTCCGATGCAAGACTGAGTGAGATTCAACACCAGCAGGCTCAAGACTCAGTGTGTCAACATCTTGTGCAGTACACTCTGTCCGGTTGGCCAAGTTTACAGTCTGCTCCAGTGTCCGTTAAGCCCTACTACGCATCCCGGCAGTCATTCTGTATCACAGATGGCCTGTTCCTGTACGGTTCCAGAATCGTCATCCCGGACCAGCTCCGTCCAGAAGTCCTCCAGCAGCTCCACGCTGGTCACCTCGGCATCACGAAGACCCGCGAAAGGGCTCGCCAGTCAGTTTGGTGGCCAGGTCTAAGCGCCCAGTTGGCTGATATCGTGTCGAATTACCAAGCCTGCGCTCGTGACAAGCCAACGCCAATGGAGCCCCTGCTGACCTCACGTCTTCCCGAGTTCCCGCGGCAGGAAGTCGCAGCCGATTTCATGCAGTTCCAAGGCTCTCAGTACCTAGTTGTTGTCGACTACTACTCCCGATGGATCGAGCTTGCTCAGATGTCCCGTACTTCTGCAGCTTCTCTCATCACGCAACTGAAGTCCATGTTTGCTCGCCACGGCAATCCAGATGTGTTTGTTTCGGGCAATGGTCCCCCATTCACAAGTGCAGAGGTTTCAGCATGGCTTCAAGAGCAAGGAACCACCCAGCGCAGCCCTCTTCATCCGCAAGGCAACGGCTTAGTGGAACGCGCAGAGCAGACCTTTAAGCATTTGCTGGTGAGTGGAGGTGATCCGTATGTTGCTCTGCAGAGCTATCGTGCCAGTCCACTAGCACATGCCTTCAGTCCTGCGGAGCTCCTCATGGGCCACCGCATCCAGACGCGTTTACCCATGTCGGCAGACGTTCGACGGCCATACCTCGTAGATCGCACAGCGTTTGCCGCCAAAGACGCCTCTCTGAAGTCCCGGCTAGCGTCGGATTTCAACTCCCGCCATCGCGCTCTCGATGCTATGCCACTGGTCCCGGGTACCGCTGTCTTTGTTCCGGATAGGAAAGAGCCTGGTATTGTCACTGCCGAGCATTCCACCAGGTCGCTCATCGTGGAGACGCCGTCCGGTTCGGTTCTCCGCCGAAACCACAGTGCCCTCATCGTCGATCCACCTGCAGGTTCTGCTAACGCTGAGGACAATGGTGAGCCAGCGTCACCCGCCCAACGTCCATCTCCAGGTACTCCCGTCCCTGAGCGTTCTGATAGAGTTATCCGTTCCGAAAGTGCCGTTCATACTCCCATCAGATTCCGTTAATCATTAAATAATAGCGTTACTCTTTCGTCTTCAGCATTATTCCTGTTTTGCTATCTTATCGCTCTCTTGCTGCGCGCCCTGCAAGAGGAGATTTCGCAATATCTGGACTCTATTATGCGTACACTACTGTACACGTATGACTGTATGTGTTGCATGCTGTATGTACGTCACACTTAACACAGGCCGTTTCCCGTAGGCCAGAACTTTGATGTGCTTCACTGGCTCGGGACTTCTCTTGTTTTTGACTTACCTACTGGTTGTGCATTTCTTGCTCCTCACGAGTTTACTCGTCCACGTCTCCTTGTCCATATTGAGAATAATACTACAACTCCAATACGTATTTAGAAGCAAAAAATTATAAAGCACCCCTTCCCCCCTTGGCTGCATCTTCTTGCATGTGTGCCTTTATCCATCGCCATGTATGGCATGGGTTCTGGTACTTCTGCATGACAGGTAGTTGAAATATCTGTCAAAAGCCCAAATAGTCGTTATTCAAGCAGTGAATATGACCTCGGGTACTAAAAGCATGTCGCTATTCACGAATTGTCGTTATTCAGATAGTCGTTGTATCCGAAGTTAAATGTATACAGTTAGATGGGACTTTGCTCTGGGCATGGAAATTCTGTCGTTATTCGCGAATTGTCGTTATATCCGCAGTTGTTATTAGCGAAGTTGACTGTACAGCATACCCCACATCACTCCATTGGTGAAAGATCTGACTACAGCTGCCTGCCGTGACCAGCAAATTCTGCCAATCACAGTGTGACGCTGCCACCTCGAGCCGCCGGTCAAACGCCCCCAGCCTCACCCATGGTCAGCACAATATACGACACAACAAGCAGGTGCACAACAAGCTAGCGCCACAGTGTGAACCTAACCACTGGACGGATGACCAGACCAACAGTTCTCCTGAGACGATCCCCAACACGACAACTGGCCAAATGTAAACTCGTCACATGTCATTCGTGACGCCCCCAATTGTCGTCTGTCCTCCAGCCAATCACCCACCACCAACCCAAACTGCTGCCACCGCACCACCTCCCTTTCCACCCGACGGCAACACTGGCAACCATCCAGTTCCTCGCCAGCAACCATTCCGCGTTGACAAGTCTGCCCACAGCACTGTGACCCCTCCAACACCCTGATCTGCTGTGACACTCACACATGCCCAGTTCATTTTCTGTTGGGAAAGGAGAGGAACTGCTCTAGTTTGCTCTATCTGTCTGATTCTCTTTGTCCATTCTAGTTTATGCTTTCCACCTACTGTTCGTTTGCTCTTTCCACCGTATCCGAATCTTCTCTTTACTAGTCTTTAACGATAGAATACTCCGTCTGTGTTGGGAGGGATGTACTGTTCACATACATATGTATACAGTCAGACCTCGCTTAACCGAACACGTCCGTTTTACACAAAACTATCCGGATAGGCGACGGAACCGGATAATCGAACACATGAACTGAATGTATTCATGACATCTGCTGTATATTGGTAATGAGCGATTTTCTTCAGGATGGCGAGGGATGCGGATAAAAGAGGAACGGATAAGCGAGATCAGACTGTACATGTATGGACTGTCACACACATGTATGCAGGCGGCACCGTTTGTGCTCCTATCCCTTTACATATGGCGCTTCCAACACGTGTAATGACAGTCAGTACGCACCATATCTGTACGCATGCACGTGCACCATTAAATTCTGTTGCATATTACAGAGCGTTCCGGAGCTCCAAGTAAGTTGTTATTTGGACTAAAGCAATAGAACAACATTACACCCCCCCCCCCTTACCTAACAATACACCCCCCCCCCACCTTACCTAACATTACAGCCCCCTCCCCTCTACCCTAACATTACACCCCCCCCCGTCCTTACCTCCAAGAAAGACACAATAACATGCACAAATTGTACACATGCAAACACCTCGACATTCACATTTAAAGCCAGTCAGTGTAAGTTACCGAGCAGTGTGCTCAATCCCTGGGACGGTGTCAGGAATGCAAGTACACATACACACAGACCTACCAGATAGTGGCGGTACAACTGGTTGATGACTGTTTCTCCGCAACAGTCTGCAAGGATGCAGGCACACTCCAGCTGGCCATCATAGCAGGCCTGGTATAGCAACCGACCCTGGTATGCAGGAATGGTATGAACACAAAATCAAGCAACATACACATGCACGCAGTCACACACGCACACACACGCACACACACACACACACACACACACACGCACACACACACACGCACACACACGCACACACACTCACATAAACGAAAACACACAAGCATGTTAATATTCAAACATTGATGAACATTCACATCCACACCCTTGTTCTTTCTCACAGACATCGACTGGTTACTTGAGTCTCCCTAGAAGGGGAGGGGGACAATCCAATAATTATGATCTTATTACAAGATTACTTTTAAAAGTAACTATCGAAACGACCACCTATGACACCAACTTGAATGTCTGGACCATGGGTGGTTTTGGAGATGATCCCACATAGTATAGACTGCTAAATCAGAGTGGGTCAGATAAAGGATTCACTGGTGCCATTGATTACACAAGAACATAATAAGAAGTGCAAAAGTAGTCCACTGGTACATATGTATGTATATTGTGAACAAAGACTTTGAAACCAACACTCACGACAGGTACAACTCTTAAACTACAAGCCGCGGTGTCTGATGGCTATAGATCAATCAGTAATCTCGCTGTAATTAGCTGCCACACACAACAACACAAGTACAAGTACACATGCACACACGCATGCATACACACGCACACAAACACGCCACACACACACACACACACACACACACACACACACACACACACACACACACATAATATAAACCCCCCCCCCCCCCGCACACACTTTCTCATAAGCCCCCACCCTCAATACCATGCACCCCTCCCCCTTCCCCTTCCACACACACGCACACACACACATCAACACGCCTTTCCTGTTGTGTATCTGCTTCACATCATTATTCATAAATGTGTCCTCCAGGGAGGACACATTCCCCCCCCCCCCCCACACACACACACACACACACACACACACACACACACACACACACACACACACACACACACACACACACAAACACACACGCACACACACAAACACGCCTTTCCTGTTGTGTATCTGCTTCACATCATTATTCATACATGTCTCCTCCAGGGAGGACACATGCCCCTACACACACATACACACACACACACACACAAACTCACACACACACACACACACACACCAGGGGCGTCGGAAGGAGGTAGAAAGTGGTACGGCTCGACAGTCAGAGGGGGTGCGGGGGAAACTTCCCTCGGGATTTTTTTCTCCAAAACCCCTCAAAATACATATAGCAGAGTCTACCAAGAGTCCATACCCCCCCCCCCCCCATGGACTTGTGGACTGATGGACTGATGTACTCTTGCATTGGTACATGGTAGTAGATGTGCGAGTCATGACGCATACATGCCATGCAGTTCCGTAGTCGACAGTCTAGTCACGCGTTACACGGTGCAGTGACCTGACTGGTGCATGGGTACGCGGTGACGGATCGCGGCTCACGATCACGCGTGGTCATGTACAAACTTGATACCCCCATTTTTTTTACACCGGATTTGGACGTTCTGCGTGGACCACCTGGAGTCAAAAGTGGTACGGCTCGAGCTGTACCAGTCGTACCGCTTCCGACGCCCTTGCACACACACACACACACACACACACACACACACACACACACACACACACACACACACACACACACACACACTCACACATACACACACACACACATGCACACACATGTACACACACACGAGCCCGCAAGGACGCTCACACATCACACCCGGGGAAGACCTCATAACATTTTTGGCCGATCCTTGGTATTGAAAGCTCACGGCAACAATGCACTATGATCGCAGCTCAGTACAAATTTGGAGAATCAAACTTTTACATTTCTCAAAAAACGAATTAGGCAAATGAGAAGTAATTTCGAGGCATCCTGCAGCTTCATCCGTAGAGAGAAGTAGGGTGTACACACCCATTCCCACAGCACTGCAAAACCGAACCGATTCCTTTTATGTACAACGTTTTGGCAAAATTGCCATCGTCAGGTACGAAATGAAACAATGATGCCATGCCGGCCAAAAAGAAGCAGTTTTATGCCAAAGTCCTACCGCCAAAACAGCATAATCCCGCATAGTAGAATCAGTGGCAGAGGTGTAAGTGAGACATTTAACGCCAGCACCAAGACATATTGTAAGAACAAATCCTATTGTCAAACACAGCATGATCTGCTGTCATAATGACAGATACAGCGAGTTGAGCTTCAAAGGTGTAGGTGAGTTATTCACCACCGGAACCAAAGCATATTGTCACATTCCGAGTCATTTTCACTTTCCTAACACCTGTACCTGTATTGTCACACCTACAGTGTTTGTCGTACACATCGTGACCTATGTCTTACACCTCGTGCATGTATACTGCAAGAGGTATGTCAGTGAGGGACACCTATGTCTTACACCTCGTGCATGTATACTGCAAGAGGTATGTCAGTGAGGGACACCTATGTCTTACACCTCGTGCATGTATACTGCAAGAGGTATGTCAGTGAGGGACACCTATGTCTTACACCTCGTGTATGCATACTGCAAGAGGTATGTCAGTGAGGGACACCTATGTCTTACACCTCATGCATGTATACTGCAAGAGGTATGTCAGTGAGGGACACCTATGTCTTACACATCATGCATGTATACTGCAAGAGGTATGTCAGCGAGGGACACCTATGTCTTACACCTCGTGTATGCATACTGCAAGAGGTATGTCAGTGAGGGACACATTTGTCTTACACATCGTGCATGTATACTGCAAGAGGTATGTCAGCGAGGGACACCTATGTCTTACACCTCGTGTATGCATACTGCAAGAGGTATGTCAGTGAGGGACACCTATGTCTTACACCTCATGCATGCATACTGCAAGAGGTATGTCAGTGAGGGACACCTATGTCTTACACCTCATGCATGCATACTGCAAGAGGTATGTCAGTGAGGGACACCTATGTCTTACACCTCGTGTATGAATACTGCAAGAGGTATGTCAGTGAGGGACACCTATGTCTTACACCTCGTGCATGCATACTGCAAGAGGCATGTCAGTGAGGGACACCTATGTCTAACACCTCGTGTATGCATACTGCAAGAGGTATGTCAGTGAGGGACACCTATGTCATACACCTCGTGCATGCATACTGCAAGAGGTATGTCAGTGAGAGACACCTATGTCTTACACCTCGTGTATGCATACTGCAAGAGGTGTGTCAGTGAGGGAAGCTTCCCAAGTGTAAGTGATTCATATTCAGGGATGACGGCTCTGTGGCTATTCCATTATAATCATTGTTCCATTCAGGTATTATCAAAGAAACAGTCGATATCATCCAAATAATTATTTGTTTCTCCTACAATAGCATTCCTGTATGTGTGGGTGAATGTTGCCGCTAAGATTGGGCTACTAAATCGAAGTGCAGCATGTTTGCCTTTTTCTTGCCGTGTTCAGTTTTTCAGGTCCTTTATACTATCAGAATTTGACTATGCATCTGCTGCCTATGCCCCTTTCCTATCGTCTTATCAGGATAAGCGCCTAAATAGTTTGTTCAAACGTGCGGCTCGCTCGGTGTGCAGGGCAGCCCCTCGCACTCACACGGCTCCCTTACTTGAACGCATGAATGCCCATACCCTCAGCATATACACCCACATGCACATTCTTGTATTCATTTGGCGCTGCCTGAACAAATCTTCAAGTACTCTGTTTGCAAGCTTTTTCACCCGTAGTCCCTCTCTCCGAACACGAGGAGGGAGCAGCAAGTTACTCATCATTCCTGTCTCCCCCACTGCATCCTCAGCTAAGCGCATTAGCCATGCTGGAGCTATCCTGTGGAACCAGCTCCCAGACACAGCACGCCTCGAAAGAAAGCGCTCCACTTTCAAATCGCTAAGCCTGGCCTTTCTGTTAGGCAGTACCGTCAACTAGGATGAACTCATCTGCTTCACTACCTCTCTCTCTCTCCTCTCTCTCTCTCTCTCTCTCTCTCTCTCTCTCTCTCTCTCTCTCTCTCTCTCTCTCTCTCTCTCTCTCTCTCTCTCTCTCTCTCTCTCTCTCTCTCTCTCTCTCTCTCTCTCACGCACTCACTCCTTTCTTCCCGGTTGCCGTGTTTGTGACTTTTTTTCCCCTGCTGCCGTGCTCATATTAGTTATCTAACTACAGCTGTATCTTCTTCTTGGTTCTGTTTGTCCGCTTATTATTATATATTTTTCTTTTCTCTTATTATCAGTGGGACCTTTGTCATTAGGTTTAGGCCTGTTTTGGAACTCCACTTTAAATAAAGCCGAACAACAACAACAACAACAATATCTCTACTACACCTTTGAAGCTCAACTCGCTGTATCTGTCATTCTTATGGCGCCAGATCATGCTGTGTTTGGCGGTAGGATTTGTTCTTACGATATGTTTTGGTGCTGGCGTTAAATGTCTTGCTTACACCTCTGCCACTGATTCTACTATGCGGGATTATGCTGTTTTGGCGGTAGGACTTTGGCACAAAACTGCTTCTTTTTGGCCGGCATGGCATCATTGTTTCATTTCGTACCTGACGATGGCAATTTTGCCGAAACGTTGTACATAAAAGGAATCGGTTAGGTTTTGCAGTGCTGTGGGAATGGGTGTGTCCACCCTACTTCTCTCTAAGAATTAGTCAAGTTTCTGCAATGATGGAGTGTAGGGCTATGGCAAGTTACTGTTACGCCGGAGTGTAGGACAGTAGCCAAGGACTGGCGAAAGTCACCTTTTCTAGTTTGAGAACACCCGTCGCAGCTTTCCTGAAAATCACTTCACACCAATTGACAAGACTCGATCTCCAAGTTTGAAACTCTGTTGTATAAAGCGTATTGCGTATTGCGTATTGCGTATTGCGTATTGCGTATTGCACGGCTGTGTCAAGTGTATCTGGGAGATCACGTACGATTGTCGACCGGACAACGGTTTGCGAAGTCTACATCTCACAAGAAAAACATACCGGTAGTAAGGAAGATACTTCGCCAAAAAGTAGGAACTCCAATGGTAGGAGTAGACACCTTGGTAGGTATCTTGTCAGTTAAACAGTGAGTGTGTCCATTGAAATTGCTGGAGGAATCAGGGAATGGCGATGATACTCGGTGAAATGAAGCCACAGCATAGTCCAGTGGACAGTGCATAAACTCAAGCTGTGGTCACATCTGGCACAATTCCTTGTGAAACCACACGCTCATGCATTTTTGCTGCCTTTTGGGGCATCATGCGTGTTGAGCGAATTGAAAACTCTGACATGTTCTATGTTTCAGCACGTACATATGTACTTGCCTGTGATTTTGACTGGCTGGGTACAAAATTACTAATCGAGCGCGTCGAACACATGTGTGTGTGTGTGTGTGTGTGTGTGTGTGTGTGTGTGTGTGTGTGTGTGTGTGTGTGCATGTGTGTGTGTGTGTGTGTGTGTGTGTGAATGTGTGTGTGTCGATTCACATGGCTTCGCCAGTTGTGTGGATTAGACCGTTATCTGGCGCAAGTCTTGATCTGTCTCATTCAGATCTTGTTCGCTACCGTTGCTATATAAGAGAAAATCTGGGGATGCACATCCAGTGCATTTGCAGATTTGCGGGCTTCTCTTGCGACGGGCGTGTACATACACGGTACCGTAAACCGTGAAACTTTCGCGAGCGGATAATTTTCGCAAGTTTCGTGATCACCGCCAAAACGCGAATTGGAATCGCTGCAAACTGAAGAATTGGAATCGCTGCAAACTGAAGAATTTGAATCGCTGCAAACTGAAGAATTGTGATCGCTGCAAAATGAAGAATTGGAATCGCTGGAAAATGAAGAATTGGAATCGCTGCAAACTGAAGAATTGGAATCGCTGCAAAATGCAGAATTGGAATCGCTGCAAACTGAAGAATTGGAATCGCTGCAAACTGAAAAATTGGAATCGCTGCAAACTGAAGAATTGGAATCGCTGCAAAATGAAGAATTTGAACGGAATTACATGCACAAGTACCACCTGAAAAGACCAAATCGCTAAAATTTCCCATCGTTAATAGGGGTGTTAAGTTGCACGCCGCAAAAGTTTCCCGGTTTACATTACATGGTGTGTTTGAGTGCACGTGTGTACGTGTGTGAGTTTGTGTGGCCATCGTGCAATCATGTCGAGCAGAGTGTCATATGTGGTGTCTGCTATTCTCACTGCAACCGTTAACTCTGTCGATAGAGTGACCTGAGTCGTCATCTCTATTTCTGCTCCTGACAATTACTATGGCTCCTTTCAGAGTGGTGTGGCCTTTCCGGCAACTAAGCTATAGTAGCATGGTGTGTGTGTGTGTGTGTGTGTGTGTGTGTGTGTGTGTGTGTGTACATGTGTGTGTGTGTGTGTGTGTACATGTGTGTGTCTGTTACATACCAGTAATGGCTCCTTCTCTTTATCATAGTTGGTATATATCAGATTTGATACACCTTCCTTCAGGGTACTGTCCTCTTGAAGGATTGCCTTCCTCAACTGCTGATGTTCATTCCTCTCTACAAGGCTGAATAGGTACTCTGCCTTGGGAAGAGTCTCCCTTGCCATGGTTACACCTGTAGTGTACCAAACAAAATGAGAGAAATTCCAGTCAATGGTAATGTATGCTATGTTTGTCATAACAGTATGTAAAACATCACAATACAATAGACTCTCATAGGCATACTGTGCCACTCCTGCCTGGATTGGCAGTTGAGTAGAAGTGTGCAGATAAGAATTGAATACTTGAGTAGCAAGTAGAATGGTGAGCACACTTGAGGATCTCTACATACATGTACATGGCAAGACATGTATGAATTCACAAAAATGAGATAATGTTGGGATTACTATACAAATCTCCATGGCATGGCAATAACGTAAATGAATGATACAGGTACAGAATCCACCTCACTTTGTCAGTTCCAAAGTCGAGGATAACACTGCGGACCAATGAACACTATGCGGTGGAAAATATCTGTACACCTTGCTAACTTGGTCTTGTAGAAATACAAGTTTTCTTTCCACCGTCACTTCGTTAGTTCAGGAGTATATCACTGATTGTATTGTCTCTCTTTAATGTGTGTAGATCACACTGGAGGGAAACATCCTCCCACTAGGCCAGTCACTTCATGATTTCTTTCTTGCTGTAAACAGTTATAATTTCTCGTCGGTCCAGCACAGCCAGATACATGTATGTGGGAAATGATTTTTTCACTCAAAATGATTTTCCTCTTGCAAATATGGCCTCTGGGGTGTTTTCTTTTGTTTTTCAGGAAGAAAAAGTGTGATGCGTTCACGCCCTGTACAAATGTCGTACATCACCCGTGGAAGGAGCGTTGCATCTTTAAAAAAAAGACGTCAACTTGAAATTCTGTCGGGACAGCATGGTATACAGTTGTTGCACACTGATGTTGGGTTTATACATATAACTCTTAAAATACCAGGTGTAACCTTCCTATGATCATTCACATCCGCCTGGTCCACACAATCGGATAACATCACTTCCATTCAGTACACATTGATTACATACATCAGTACAATGTATTGACTGCTGTACTCTACTCTCACTGGGTTAGCTTACAAACTTACTTTTTCTTATAAAGGTCACTCTACAATTTTCATTCATTACTGACTGCGCTTCTTTACATGCAGTGTTGCTCAATAAAATCCGGTCGAGAGAGTCAAGTTTGTGCTTTGCAGCATTTCACCTGGCATCATAATTCTTCTCTCAGCCTAGAGTGCACAGGTCTGGGGCTGTGCAACGCCTGGCACGTACTTGTTTGACACGACCGGATTTCATTGAGCAGCTCTGTACTTGTACTCCCACGTGATGTATTCCTGCCATGAGTGATAAACAGACATTGTACATACCTGCCATGCCCTTTCCCTCCAATCACAATCATGAACAAATACACAGACCCCCCCCCCCCCCAACACACACACACACACGTAGACACACCACACACACATAAAACGTACACCACGCAAGCACCATACACACAGGGTGGAAAAGTACTCACCACCAATGGCACCATATGTAGCGTGGTCTCTCCCTCAGCAAGCACCGCTACCATCTACAATACTTCGCAAACTGCAAGAATTCTACCTCAAGTCTAAAGAAAAACTCACTCGTAAAATACAATTATTCCACGCGAAGGAAATTTCTTCCACTGACACAGCAAGCTGATCTAGAAAAGACGACAGGCTGGACTCTAGTCAGTAGATGTTTATACCAGTCCACTATCTAGTCATCTTCACTGTCCGTCAACAGTATGGCTCAACCGCCAGCTGAATGATCTGTGCCGTTCTCAAACTCACTGACTCTTGTCATTATTGGTTTGTCCGCAAAGCGATGCATGAACTGCCTGTCCGTAGATCCAACGACGGCAGAGATCTACGCGGTGCGCGCGCCTCTCCGTGGTCTTCCTACCTCATCGAGTCAGTGATGTGCGCTTGGCGCCGCGGGCCGCACCCCCGTCATAAACCTGACCATGGTACATAGACGACGTCATTGGTAGACTGTCTTTTGACACTTTTGTCAACAACACTTCTATTTTGGGATCCGGAGGTCTAGTACTACTAGTAGTACTAAGTCGTATTCAAGCCGTTTTCTTGGATATGTCTATTCGATTTGAGAACGACAGGCTGGAGAACCGTACGGTAGATGTCAAGGAGTCGCAAAATACCGGTATTTTTGCGACTCCCTGGTCGATGAGCAGAGCTGCTAAAATGATGACATCGGATCGCGTGAGTAAAGTTAGTATGCCCTTTGCACTGGGCAGCCGGCCCCAGACTTGGGAACCCAGGGACTTTTACTGCTCCAGGCCGCAAAGCTGACTCACTCGATAGGCCTTCATCTCTCCCTCCCGTCTCCCGCTCTTGTTTACATGATGCAGTGCGCCTTAGCTATGGCCCTAGACCTAGTGGATGTGTGCACGCCGACTGCGAGATGTACCACGTGATTTATCTACATTTGACGTCAGTGAGCATTATGTCTAGGCATGGCCGGGTAATGCTAGCATTATGTCTAGGCAATAGTCCCTTTTTCCAGGTGGCATGACTTGTACTGATGTACGTCTTTAGATCTACATGTACATGTATGAAGGGCGCAGTTCACGCAAGTGCGCAAACAGGTCGCTTGTACAGTACGATATACAGGCATGAAGTTGAGATTGCTCAATCTTAGCAGTTGTCACGGATTATTTAACTCTGTAACTTCTGAGGTAGGTTTACGGTATGGGTGGACACCCCATCGGCTGCCATCAGCATGTGTGTACATTGTATCTTGTTGCTTGGGCAATCGCGTCGAGCACACGCTCATTGATGTGCGTGTTTTAAATATAGCGATTGATAACAGTATGTGCCGTCCGTAGTCCGTAAAGAGTTAAACTCACATGCTGTGTCGAACCTCACAGTCCACACCGCACAACTAACATCTGTCTAACACCGAAATGAACAGGGAAGACGAATGAATTACGAAGAGCGTGATATCCGCCAGCCAATTTACTATTGCTGTGCGTGGACACTATGTGCACGACCAGTATTCTGTGCAAGGTATAGCAATTGTTTGCAAGTAGCTTCTACTGTTCCTGTTTGCAAGTAGCTTCTACTGTTCCTGTTTGCAAGTAGCTTCTACTGTTCCTGTTTGCAAGTAGCTTCTACTGTTCCTGTTTGCAAGTAGCTTCTACTGTTCCTGTTTGAGTTACACCAGTAATTTTATTTTTCACCTTTTCATGCCCCTTCTTCCCTCTCTCATGACAGCCACCTTCATTTTCCTTTCCCCGGGAGACTCCCGTTGATAGGCATCCATTCACCTCTAGAGAATCCTTGAAAATAATTATAGTATCAAGAATGTGGAAAATGTGTCATTCGCACAGGTACTTCAGACTGGGTCAGGTGGTTTTCGGCGTTCCACAACACGCCTGTACAAGAGAACTGCATTTTTCCTGGCTGACAAGTGTTATGAACCGTACACACATGTCATGGCAATTATCAGGTGCCCTCCCCCCCCCCTTTTCACTTCCCTTTCGTCTCATCCACCCTTCCAGGAAACTCCCCCGATACGTATCCATTTACTTTTGGAGAATCCTTCAAATAAAATCGAAATGTAAATGTAACATGTAACATGTAACATGTAAGGTGCTGTATTTCTTTTGCCTTCCCACCGTCCTGTATAGTGTGGACCGTTAGACGGTAGACAGTGTTTGAACAATATCAACAAAGAATAATTATTGGAAGAAAAGAAGACCAAAGAGATACAAGTTACGCTAGAATATCCACCAACACTAGCTCCTTGGTCCTGATTTCTTCTTATAAATAAATCCTTGGCTACTCACCTGAGTTTAAAGAATATTAATGTACAAGTACCCTGCCACGTTGACGGAGGGTTCACACACAGCTACATGTATCAGTATGGAGTTTTCAGACGTCACTATTCAATAATGCCTGTGAAAACGAAAACTGTATAAAGTGTACAATGTCCCTTTAAAGAGGAGAAGAGGGGGTTGGGGGGGGGGGGGGTCCCCAGGCTGTATGTAGTTTGTACTCAAACTGTAGATGACGAAAACAGAACTTTGAAATAGACCAACATTACCAGCAAGTATTTTATATACATGGTATACTGTCGCCACACTTTAACAACGAATCTGAAAACACCAGTATATGTTAACAATGTCCGGCCGCTGCCTGTTTCGGCATTGTTAGGTGACCTCAGCGGATCTCAGCGGATCAGAGGAGTTACTGACCGAACCAGTTCAGGATAGCATACGTGTACTGTTACTACTAGAGGATAACAACACATCTGAAAACACCAGCACATGATTTACGTAGTTATTGTTGTTTACCTTTACTCATCTTTCCATTTCTTCATACATGTACCTCTCTGTTGTTGTCTCCATCAACATGGTGTGCCAAATACTCCTCTACTTCTATCTACACATTACCGGTATTCTCACCATCAGAATAATGGACACATGGATTTTACTCAGCATGGATGACGTCAGTAGACATTGATTACATACACACACAGTGAGATGCAAAACGACAGACACCAAAGACTTTCCTCTGCTCCGCTGAGTTTTATCAAAACAATACCAGCCACATCTTCTAGCTTTGGATATGAGCTAATTCACGTGTTAGCGTACCTTTGCTAGGTGGTGATGTTAGTGCAAAGATTACCAAGTCGTTGGTGCTGTGATTGACAGCAAACAGTCACGTGATTGAATTTAACAGTTAGCAGTTGAAGTATAGGCACTTTAGTGGGTGACATGCGATATTGACATTTTTTTGTGATGGACATGAAAGAATGATGAAACAGAACCAAAAAAGGAAAACTAAATGTTCGACCCCTACACCTCAACAGAATGGGAAATAGGTGCAATTGTGAAGACACATAGCAAGCGGTAAATGTAGTGCCACAATATCAGACATCCAATGTACATACATGTAGGCATGGGCGGGTAATGCTAGTTATTTGCTGCGATAATGCTCATAATATGAGGATATAATGCCACTTATAATGCTCACACTACTCCATAATGCCAGTTTGAAATTTGGAGAAGTCGATTAAATAAGGCCGTCTTGGATCAAGGCCAAAGCGTGGAAGAAAACAACTTAAACAGCAGTGAGCATGTTGTCTGAAACAATCCTGTGAGAAGGTTGATTTGCAACGTCAAGTCTCCGGACGAAGCCGGACGGGTTCAGATGCACGATTTTCGGAACTGGACCTAGCCAGTTTCATGCATGACACCATTGTCGATGCTTGTAATGCCAATTTTGCATGCGAAGTGGTGTTATAATGCCAGCCATAATACTAGGATTACCCGCCCCTGCCTACATACATGTGACACGAATCCCAGCACATTCAACTGATGCGTATGAGTATTATCATTGGCTTTTCCACAAAGCACTGCATCAACTGCCTGTCCGTAATGCCAAGGACGGTCAGTGCGCGCGCCTCTCCATGGTCTTCCCAGCTCAACGAGTCAGTGATGTGTTCTTGGCGCCGCGGGAAGCACTCCCGTCATAAACCTGACTATGGTGCAAGGATGACGTCATTGGTTGGCAGTCTTTTGACAGTTTTGTCAACAGCACTTTTACATGTATTTGGAATCGCAAGAGGTACACAAAAGGGAGTATATAGGGCTGTTTTTTGTTGTAACTCAGAGTTTCATGGCAAAAACCAATCATCAGACAACATATGGAGATTAGAAAAACGCAGGTATATGAAGGCAAGCAGAGGAGATATTTGGAATCGTAAGTCTACTGAGTCGTAGTCAAGTCGTTCTTGGATATTTCTTATCTAGTTGCTCATGAAACTTGAGAGGCTTGAGTGGAGAACGGTCCGGTACATTTCAGGGAGTCGCAAAGTACCGGTGTTTTGCGACTCCCTGGTCGATGCGCAGAGCTGATAAAAGTTGACATCGGATCGCGTGAGTCAAGCCTTTGCGCTATTGAACCGGCCCCAGACTTGCGGACCCAGGGATGTTCACTCCTCCAGGCTGCAAAGCTGGCTGAGTCGATCGGCCTTCATCTCTCTCGATTACATGATGCAGTTCGCCTTGCCCCTGGTAGATGTTTGCATCCCGACTCGGACTGCGAGATGTAGCACGTGATTCATCTACACGTGACCTCAGTGTGCATATTGTCAGTGTTCTCCTTGGCTACTTGCGACAGTCATAGCAAGTTTTAGTTCCCCAAAGTCAATGACTGAGTAGATGGTCTTTTCATTTGTAGCGACCTTTGTTGTCCGCTCGATACATGATGTAGTGATGTAAATAAATAAATCGACGGGGTTCGCGTACCGGGCAGGTCAATACATGATTTAGAAAAGCGATCCTGTCAGCTTTTCTATTATTGTGTTCACATGGCAAGAAAAACGACATCGCTATGCTACGTAAGTTTCTACGTAAGGTGCTCGGTATTTCACTTAGGCTACGTAAGTCTCTACGTAAGGTGCTCGATAAAGATCTACCAACGGGTGGTAGCCGCGTGCTGTGCACGTGCACGGCAGCCGGCAGACATTGTGTTGCATGCAGTGCAGTCCGTGTTCGGATATATGCATGCGCGAGGAACTTCCTTCTTTGGAACTGCTTCTTGTATGAGCTGTTTCGGATATTTCGTCTCCTGGCCTGGCTTATTTAGTTTCGGCGCTGCTGAGACCTCCTTTCGCGGAATATTACTCAATGACAGGTGAGTTGACCAGTTCCCT